TTTTGTTGACCTTTGTCCATGGAAGGTCCCTGCAAAATTTCATTGAAATTGGTTCAGGGGTTTTGGAGAAGAAGATTTTTGAAATTTTAGTCAATTTGACCCTTTTTGGCCCCGCCCCTCAGGCCCCTGGGGGCTTAGGACTAAACCGGCAACTAATTTTGTTGACCTTTGTCCATGGAAGGTCCCTGCAAAATTTCATTGAAATTGGTTCAGGGGTTTTGGAGAAGAAGTCGAAAATGTAAATTGTTGACGGACGCACGACGGACGACGGACGACGACGGACAAAAGGCGATCGCAATAGGTCACTTGAGACTTTGTCTCAGGTGACCTAAAAATGCTATGTACGTACTTAACTACAAATCCTATCAACTTTAAAATAAGAAATGTTTAAGTTCAGAAAACCATAATAAGTTGGAGCATTGTTTTTACTGGACAAAAAGCTTATATCAAATTGCTGATAATTGTTACCACAGAGCACAATAATGATCAAAATGTCACAGCAGGGACAATTAACGATGTCAATAACGTATTTCTTAATTGCACAATGTTAGTACAGGATCACATGTCAAGTCAACTCTCTTCCGAGCCACTGTCATCTGCAAACTCTTTGTCAAAATCCTCCTTTGATATCTGAAACACATAAAGTTTTTTTCCATATGTAACAGGCTTAACATGACTAAAGCAATTTTTTTCTCAGAAAAGTTGCATTAGCTGTGGTTATGTGTGACTACCGAGAGTTACCACATACAAGTCTACCACAAATTTTTTCAGAGGACATATAACTCTTGGTAATGTCCCCTGAAGAAATGTTAGCCAACCAACTCAAATGTTGTTATCAAAGCATATCACAAAAAAGCATTTCAGTTGGATGTTTTCCAATCAGAAAGTATTCAGGTCTTTCAATCCTACTTTTTGAGACCAGTTATGCTGTGGTGCAAATTCCAACTTTCAACAAAAATTCCTGAATAGGTTCTAATTTGCATTTGTCACCAAATGGAAAGGTAAGCATAGAAAATACTTTCTTATAATCTGCAAAAAATGATTTTTTAACAGTTTGGTAAAACAGTTTGTTTAAAATGTTTCATAAACCGAAACGACCAAGAAGATAACAGTAATGTCAAAGGCCAGAAAGGTACTGAACCAACATGGAGAGTACACATACATGGGTCCATATCAAACAGCCCTTGTGACCACCTACCTGGTACTTCACAACTTCAGCCAGGTACTCACTAATGACTTAAACACAATGGATGGGTAAGATGTCAGTTTCATTGAAATCCATCTGATAGTGTGGTACATGTACTGGGCAAAACTTTGTAAAGCTAAATAAAAGGGTTATAACTCCTTTATCTTAATGAAATCAACATGACGATCACTTATATATATATATAAAGGATGTGAAAGGCAAGATGTGTGCAAAGTTTCATCAGTCTTTTTGCAGTATTTTAGGAAGAGTAGTCCAGAAAACAATTGTGTCTACAGACAAACCACCTGATTCTGGTGCTGCACCCCTGTCTCTTTTTCCGTGCATGTGAAATAGAAAAGGCAAAGTTGTGTCCTAAATCACTTGCTGGAGAGTTCACAACTCCCTGGATTAATAAGGCTCAATTTTGAATGTAAACACTCACCATTTTTACAAGTGTAACAGTATTTTTTTTAGCTTTCCCTTTGGAACCAGTGTTTAACAATATGAATTTTCTATTATACCTTTCCCTTTTTTAGTTTTTTCATCAACTTCAAGTCCTTGTCAATATCGTCCATGTCTTCCTCTGATATCTCCAGCTTGCGTTTGTTTGTTTTTTCCTTGCGTTTCTTTTTCTTGTCTTTGCGATCTTTGTGTTGAGACCAGGACTTGGTCTCCAAATGCTTCTTCTGTTTTCCTTTTTTCACACTTTCTCCACTATTCAGCTGCTCCTGTCTCGCTTTCTCTTTTGCTTTATCTCTGCGGTTAGAAACATGAGTATCACATGATTATTATCTATGTAATGTTTGATTTTGTTGACAGAAAATGTATAAATCTATTTATAGGTACCCTCTAAAAGCTTTCATTGTAACAAGAGGCCCAATGGGCCTGCATCGCTCACCTGGTATTAATCTCACACCTGTAATCTTAAAAGTGGACTAAAATACAGCTACAGGCAAAATATCAGTGTTTGATTCATAAGAACCTATTGAAGGATTTAAACATATGGCGCCTGTGTCCTTGAATGTCGAACATGGACATTAGGTTGAACAGAGTTTATAGTCTTCCAACACAGCATGCATCTGGCAAAATATCATTACCCTGGACCTTTTGGTTATATAGAACAAATCATTTAAAGATTTAAACATATGTTGACCACTATGACCTTGAATATGGGTGAAGGTCATTCACCTGGTAGTCCTTCATCCCAGCATGTTAATGGCCAAGTATCATCATTCTTGGCCTTTTGCTTATTAAGAAGAAGTCATTCAATGGTTTTAAACATATTTGACCCCTGTGACCTTAAATATATATGTCAAGGTCATTCATTTGAACAAACTTGGTAGTCCTTCATTCCAGCATGTTACTGGCATTATACTAGGCCTCTTGGTTATTCAGAAGAAGTTGTTTAAAGGTTAAAAACAAATTTGACCCCTGTGACCTTGAAAAAAGATGAAGGTCATTCATTTGAACAAACTTTTGTAGCTCTTCATCCCAGCATGCTACTAGCCAAATATCATCACGCTAGGCCTATTGGTTATTCAGAAGAAGTTGTTTAAATGTTATAAACATATTTGCCCTCTGTGACCTTGAATATAAGTCAAGGTCATTTATTTGAACAAACTTGGTAGCCCTTCATCCCAGCATGTTACTGGCCAAATATCATCATCCTATGCCTCTTGGTTTATTCGTTAGAAGTTGTATAAATATTTTAACATATTTGACCCATGTGACCTTGAAAATGGATGAAGGTCATTTATTTGAACAAACTTGGTAGCCCTTCATCCAAGCATGTTACTGGCCAAATATCATCACCCTAGGCCTATTGGTTATTCAGAAGAAGATGTTTAAATGTTTTAACATATTTGCCCTCTGTGACCTTGAATATAGGTCAAGGTCATGTATTTGAACAAACTTGGTAGCCCTTAATCCCAGCATGTTACTGGCCAAATATCATCACCCTAGGCCTATTGGTTATTCAGAAGAAGATGTTTAAATGTTTTAAACATATTTGACCCCTGTGACCTTGAATATAAGTCAAGGTCGTTTATTTGAACAAACTTGGTAGCCCTTCATCCCAGCATGTTACTGGCCAAATATCATCATCCTATGCCTCTTGGTTATTCAGAAGAAGATGTATAAAGATTTTAACATATTTGCCCCTTGTGACCTTGAAAATGGATGAAGGTCATTTATTTGAACAAACTTGGTAGCCCTTCATCACAGCATTTTACTGGCCAAATGACATCACCCTAGGTCTCTCAGTTGTTCAGAAGAAGTTGTTGAAAGGTTTTTAACATATTTGACCCCTGTGACCTTGAATATAAGTCAAGGTCATTTATTTGAACAAACTTGGTAGCCCTTCATCCCAGCATGTTACTGGCCAAATATCATCATCCTAGGCCTCTTGGTTATTCAGAAGAAGTTGATTAAAGATTTTTACATATTTGACCCCTGTGACCTTGAAAATTGATGAAGGTCATTTATTTGAACAAACTTGGTAGCCCTTCATCAAAGCATGCTTCTGGCCAAATATCATCACCCTAGGCCTTTTGGTTACTGAGAAGAAGTTGTTTAAAGTAAAAAGTTGACGCCGGACGGACGCCGGACGACGCACCATGCCATAAGCTCACTTGGCCCTTCGGGCCAGGTGAGCTAAAAATTGAATGTATTATTTTATTACCTACGAAAGTTTGGGGAAATTTGTTATAACATAAATAGTCATTTTTATACAACTTTTCAAATGCAGTTTGCAAAATGATCTTTGAATATACTTATGAGTGGTTTTCATTATGTTTGAAAACACTCGTAGTAGATTAGGTTCTTAAAGTTCTTTTAACAGTATGTGCTTCCCAAGGCTACTGAAATCTCCCCAACATATACGAATATTCTACCAGGTAACTGAATAAGTCTCCCTATTACATTACATCTCCAGCACACACACAGGCATACACAAATAGGGAGATATTAGCCTGGTGGCATAGGACCGGTAGTTAGTGCCCGATAAGGCAGCTCCTGTGAATTCCTCAAAATTGTATTGATTAATGTATATGCTAATTGTATTTATTGTACATCTATTTACTGTAAAGTGCTTTAGAGTGGCTTATATGTTAGCTAGATAGGGCACTACATCAAATGCTGTATATTACTATTATTAAAGATGACAGAATACTAACTTGTAAGGTATGGTGGCCCAGTCAATGTCCGGGGCAACAAAGTTTGTTAGCACCTTTCCTTTCAACTCTGGCATTTTAGGGACACGTACCAGTCCAAACCCTGTCGCTAGTCTACCGAAGTCTAGGTCCTTCACTCGGAAGATCATGCTGCATTCATGTTTGACATAATACTGCACAAATGACACATATGCCCTGGCTGCCTTGTCCATCATGGACCGGTCTTTGATAGACATTTTCTGAAGCTTTGGAAGGTGATTCTGAACATCGTCTGCTTTTTCTATCATCTGTAGAGGTGCTTTCTGATTGATTTCAATGAATTTGACATAGGCATCTTCCGTTGGTAACAAGAAGATAAGAGCCGTCCCCTTGTTGCCGATCCTTGCTGTACGTCCACACCTGTGGATAAAGGAGTTAGCAGAGCTGGGCGGATCGTACTGGACAACCCAGTCCATCTCTGGAATGTCCACTCCTCTTGCCATTACATCTGTACACAATAACACACCACTTTCCAGGGTCCGGAATCTTGAGAATATCTTGTTCCTCTTTTTCTTCATTTTGCCATGTATAGAAAGGACCTGAAAACAAAATTGGAAAAATAAATAAAACTGGTGATTTTAGAAAGTCTATCTAGAAACTCAATTAAACCTTTAATATTTAGTTTAAAAAGTATTCATAATGATCATAAAATAATGCAAAATAATTATGCATCTCAATAATTATTATCTCTCGGCATGAAGAGGTCAGGAGCTGTGAACAGTTAGGAGACATCATCCAATGATTTCCCATTGTGCATGACAATGTTTTTCTATTGAAGCTTAGACGGTTCAACAATTTAGATTCCAACTTACAATTTCTTTTTTTTTCAATACTCTGACCCTCAGAAGTTGAGTTTGTGTATAAATTACACTCTTTTGTAACGTTTTACTCCATGAAAAGTACTGGCATAAAGAAGTGATCTGACATGACCTGTCAATAACTGGGATCATGCAACTGAAAGGAGATATACGCAACTACAAACTTACCTGATGCTGTTTCAGGATATGCTGTATGCTTTTCGAAAAATAGTCAACACTTGCACATGTGCTGAAAAACACCAATATTTTGAGCTTTTTGTTAATGTGTAAGAAATGGATGAGTTGGTTAAACTTCTCATCACTGTCCAATACCATGTACTGGTTTTCTAGAGAGGCGGGCGTTCTCCTTGCGGCACTGAGGTCAGAATTGTCTCTCTTCTCCTTCACGTTAATCCGAACAGGATTCCTCATGCCAGCACGTATGAGTTTTTCAACCTCATCTGTCTGGGTGGCAGAAAACAACCCTGTACGACGTTGTTTCGGTAGAAAACTTAGAATTGTGTTGATACTAGCTTCAAAACCCATTTCTAACAGGCGATCTGCTTCGTCCAACACAAGAATTTCTAGAGATTTGACACTTGCCGCAAGATTGCATTCGTCCCATTTTTTCTCTAACAATGACTCAAATCGCCCAGGAGTGGCAACTACTATGTGACCTGCAACACACAAGAAAGAACATTAATGACACATGTACTAGTTCTGAATATTTTTTGTGCTCATAAAGAAACATATCATATATGAAAGTCAACAAAATTTTGATGAAGTTCCTGGCTATGTAACAGGGATTGTACCTTCAAACAAGAGGCCCAGTGGTCCTGCATTGCTCACCTGGTATGAATCTCACACTTGTAATCTGAAAAGTGGACTAAAATACAGATACAGGCAGAACATCAGTGTTTGATTCATAAGAACCTAATAAAAGATTTAAACAAATGACGCCTGTGACCTTGAATGTCGAACAAGGACATTAGGTTGAACAGAGTTTGTAGTCTTCCAACCCAGCATGCTTCTGGCAAAATATCATTTAAAGATTTAAACACTTGGTAGTCCTTCATCCCAGCATGTTAATGGCCAAATATCATCACCCTTGGCCTTTTGCTTATTAAGAAGTCATTTAAAAGTTTTTAACATATTTGACCCCTGTGACCCTGAATATATGTCAAGGTCATTCATTTGAACAAACTTGGTAGTTCTTTATCCCAGCATGTTACTGGCATTGTTCTAGGCCTCTTGGTTATTCAGAAGAAGTTGTTTAAAGGTTTAAAACATATTTGACCCCTGTGACCTTGAACAAAGATGAAGGTCATTCATTTAACAAAGTTTGTAGCCCTTCATCACAGCATGCTACTATCCAAATAGCATCACCCTAGGCTTAAACATATTCAACCTTTGTGACCTTGAATATAAGTCAAGGTCATTCATTTGAACAAACTTGGTAGCCCTTCATCCGAGCATGTTACTGGCAAAATATCATCACCTTATACCTCTTGGGTTATTCAGAAGAAGTTGTTAAAAGTGTTTTTCATTTGGACAAACTCGGTAGTCCTTTATTCAAGCATGCTACAGGCCAAATATCATCATCATCCTAGGCCTCTTGGTTATTCAGAAGGAGTTGTTTTACAGGTTTTTAACATATTTGACCTCTGTGACCTTGAATATAAGTCAATGTCATTCATTTGAACAAACTTGGTAGTTCTTTATCCCAGCATGTTACTGGCATTGTTCTAGGCCTCTTGGTTATTCAGAAGAAGTTGTTTAAAGGTTTAAAACATATTTGACCCCTGTGACCTTGAACAAAGATGAAGGTCATTCATTTAACAAAGTTTGTAGCCCTTCATCACAGCATGCTACTATCCAAATAGCATCACCCTAGGCTTAAACATACTCAACCTTTGTGACCTTGAATATAAGTCAAGGTCATTCATTTGAACAAACTTGGTAGCCCTTCATCCGAGCATGCTTCAGGCCCTTTATCATCACCCTAGGCCTTTCGGGTGAGCTAAGAACAGCATGACATTTCTGAGTTATTAGAACCATTATGAAAAGGGAAAAATACTGTTTTCTACCTAATCAGCACAACATATAAATTTTTAACTCTTTTTTTTGTTACATATTCTAAGGTTTGGTTTTGGTTTTACAATGTTTAACATCCTATCAACATCTAAGGTCATTTAAAGGCGTTTTCTAAGGTTCTAACCAAGGATGTATATATGTATAGCCATGTTCAACAGAGCAAACTAATACTACTTATATTTATGTTATTAATTTACCTACATGTATTAGCACACTTGTGGGGACTCACACGCCTAATCATCAGAGTGGTTTGACTGCATATTATTTGATGAGTCATTAAACTTTTAACAGTTTATTTTCGGTAATATTTACACTTGTATAACTAATAACAAGTTTTTTGTACTTTCTTTAAATCTTTTATACAGTTAGTTAAATGATGTGAAACATCTACTGAAGAATTACGAGTAAAAGCAAGTTGAAGGACTTCATAAAATTCACACAAATACTAAATGTTTTCAGGATATGATATTGGGGTTGTCCTTTTTGAGCACAATTTTAAAAACACCTTTTCAATGCATTTGACCTCTGTGACTTTGAAAGTGGATCAAAGTCATTCATGATCATTCTTTGTAGTTTTTAACCTCCATGGCCTTGAAAGGAAAGGAAGCTACTATACCAGCCAAATATCATGACTGTATGCCTTTAGCTTTCGGTTCTTTAGAAGAAGTTGTTGACTATTTGACCCCTGTGACTTTATTAGGTCAAGGTCATTTTATTCACAAAATTTGTCAGGCTCAGAAAACTACCAGTCAAATATCATGTCAATCTTCAGATGAAGTCGTTTCAAAATCGGATTCAAAACGAGCCTTCTATAAGCTTACCATTGGCGTCTACAACTATGTTAAGGAAAAGTTGGTATTCGTAACGCCAGACAGATGTTGATGGACAAACAGATGTATGGACTTACAGACACCAATACCATGGTATAAGCTCACTTATACATTTGTAGGAAAAGATTAATAACAGGGAAGTGAAACCTCCAAAACTCACAGGCAGTCAATGGTCAACTCAATCCAGTTACTTTAATAACAACATAATTCAGTTGTAATTAACACAACGATTTGTTATAACTACAACATAATCTTGTCATTTCTATGATAGTGACTATTAGTGCATGGGTAACTTTTATTATATAGCTACAGTGAGCTAATTATTTATAATTACGAGATGTTACTACGACACAGTATTTCTCTGTGACGCGTAAAGGATTACGCAACATATCATGGATTGCAGAATAAGGGATGAATTGTTTTCTAAACGTTTGATAATCATTGGTATTGCAATGTTTACAATGTTGTAACCTCACCTCCATTTGTTTTGAATTTATTGATATCATTATGTGGATTTTCGCCTCCAATAAACAAAATAGAAACGACACCATCATGAAGTTCAAGAAAATGATCAAGGACCTCCTTGATTTGGAAAGCTAGTTCTCTTGTAGGTGTTAGAATAATAGAAAATATCTCCTGCTTCTTCAATTTTCCCGTTTCTTGCATGTGTTTGTCAAGCTTCTCAAGAATAGGAATAAGGAATGCTAAAGTTTTGCCACTTCCAGTCACTGCCTCAGCTGCCACGTCCTTGTTACCTATGAATAATGGTATACATGCCGCCTGAACGGGTGTAGCTTTGGAAAAATTGAGTTGATCCAATGATATAAGGGTAGTATTACAAAGTGTAACAGGCAAATCTTCCCACGTGGGTTCCATGTTTGTTATTGCTAGACAGTCAATAAATATTACGAAATGGAATATAGTTATGAAAGTATCGTAGAATTATTAACTAATTGTTCCCAAAGACTGATACCTGGTATCACAAACATATCATATATTTTATGTAATGATAGTTTGGATCTATAGCAATGCTGTAGATTATTTTTAAAACGGATTTGAATTTATTCCTGTATGAAACTAATTCTGAAAGATTATTTTAATTTTGGGGCTACTATTTTATTACCTTCAAAATGAAGAGCTCGGCTTTGTTTGGAGGCTTCCACTTCATCCGCTGCAGAGCATTCAGCTCGTCAATCTAAGAAGTAAATACCAGGTGGATTTTGTCAGGTACCTTTACGTAAGTTTAAGTCGTTGCATTTTGATAAATTATGAAATTTCAAATGCAACGTGATCGTTACTCCACTTATTTGTTTGCACCAGGACCGGCAAGGCACGCTTTGTTGGATCTGTTTTTTCATTTGATGTTCAAACTTAAGAAATGTTAAATTTAAGTTTAATGTTTGGTAGGTTATTTCTTCATAGATGAAATTATTATGTACAATATTTTCATTTTTGAAAGATGATGAGGTAGCAGTACCGATATGTATTGAAGAATAGATTGTAAAATGTTGAACGGGCTAAATTTTACGGGAAATCGAGAGTAGTGTCCCTTTGAACACCGCGGAATATAATGTACATAGAACGGCATAGAACCGGTACAGTAAATATTTGGATACATTATAATTGAATTTTCTGAAGAAAAAAACTGTATGCTGAAAAGCTTTATGCGATGCACTGGAAATTTAAGTCATGATCATCAATAAATTTAATCAAGAATTTAGCCCACTGAACAAATCACTCTTTTGTCTGTTTTCTCTCTGTCCTTAATTAAACAATTCTTGTTATTTCCATTCCTCAAAAAAGTTCAGGAGAGATATTTTCCAACTTTTAGAATGGAAGTTCCCCTTGGTCCACAGTTGTGCATGTTTCATTTTGAGACTTATCACAAAAATACAAGATGGCTGCATGGTGGCCATCTTGTATTTTGAGAGTTCTATATGTTATACTCCACACATAGACCAGAGTGGCTTTAATGCAGAGGGGGAGTTCAAGATTTGTATCACTATTTCTCAAGAAGCTCTTGACATATCTTTCTCAAATTTTGTATGAGGGTTCCCATTGGTGCATAGTTTTGCTTGTTTTTTTTTTGGACTGAGTGAAAAAATCCCAAGATGACTGTCAGATAGCCATCTTCTATTTATCAGTTCAAGATTGTTATTGCTATTTTTAAAAAAAACGCTGAACAGATGGCTGCCACTTAACCATATTGGATTTGGACAGTTCAAATTTGTTTTTGCTATTTTTCAGAAAGTAAACAATAAACCTCCTTTTGAAAGGACACTCTCTAAATTAGATGAAAAGTAACTGTAAGATGCATTTACTATTTAACAAGACCATAAATCCAACAGATAATAAAAAAGAAGTAATATAAAGGGAAAATAGCAATTGAACAATTACATAGAAGTTATTAAGATCTTATGATGTGGGTGCCAAGAGCTTTNTTTTTGGGGTTTTTTTTTTTTTTTTTTTTAAATGTATTTTAATTATATAGATGTAAGTGTAACAATTTCGGCCTGGACTATAAGTTTGGTGACCTTTTTAGCAGGCAGTATTTCTTGCAAGATTCTTTTTCATGGAATAATTCAACCTTAAGAAAGATTGTGGCCGGCCTGGTTAGAAAAGAAAAATAAACATGAATCTTAACTTCAAAATACCTTCTGATTTTCCCTCACTTTTGAAATGGTTTTCTGGAAGGAGTTGAAAAATTACTTGTTCCAAACCATAATTTACCAATATACATTGTAATATGATGGACAAACCATATCCAAATTTATAAAGATGAACCATTGCATAATAGATTTGAAAATGGAAAATTTTAAACATTGCTGGGACTGTTCATCTCCAAAAAAATGTTCAATACAAGGGTTTTGTGTGTGCATTTATACAAAAAAAACATGGAGTCTGGATACATTTCTCAAGCTACATGTTCATAAAAATGGTAGAAACTACTACCAACAAGTCAGCCAATTATTCTTTTCGTGGAATATATATGTGTAATGACAGGGTAGGGGTCAGATTAGAAACTTATAACATTTACTTGAGTGGAGGATGGGATTTGTAATCTGCAGGACATGTTACTGATCTTCCTTACATTTTTACTAGACTCTGACTAACAGACTGGTGTTTGGTATCACTCTTTAATCTAATCACAAATAGCAATACAAGTAGTTAGAACTCATCCATAAAGGTTTAATAACAATATTATACATGTATGTATTGATATCATTATACCATTTTGTATATATGTCTTTTATCATGCATGCTTTAGATTAGCATATTTCAGATTTCAGCGGCCAAATTATTGACATACCCAGTAAAAAGCAAACAGCAGATACCACAACAATAGCTTGGTGTCAGGCATGATAAAGCAACTGCAATATGACCTTTATTACAAACAAACAGACCCCCAAAAAGTTATTTTACTCTACAAAACAGTCAACTTACTAGTCACAATAACTCCATCAGTTTCCTCCCTGCCAACTCAAGACACAACCACCAACACACAATTTCCAACAGGCAGCAGATCTCTCCTACATTGTCTCATTCTGTATGTCCACGCAGTCGTACACTAGAGCTTAACTCCAAGTACATACCGGAACATCTTTTGAGCTCCTCTTTCAGATGAAAGCATCTGAACTTAGAAATTATCAATAATTCAACAAATTCACTGACACCGGTTGAAAATGCTCAATTTTAAGGTTAAAAATCGTGATTTCTGTCCAAAATATGGAAAGTTGGCAAGAATGGCAGTAAGTAGCATTATGCTTATCTCGCTCAGTTCTTCTGCACAATTCCTTTCAAATAATCATTATCATCGATAGACAGAATCAAGAAGAATTCAGACAGAACACTTCTGTCTGATGATTATGTGTTTGTATATATATATATATACTAATGACTATAGGAAGAATTTGTGACCATTCTAACTTGTGTTTAAGAATGGTAACTGTCTATGCATTGTACAGGGGGTTCTTCTATCGTCATGCTGTAAGTAAAATGGTTGCCCGTAAAAAGACCAAAAGAAAGTCATCATGGTTCACATCCGAAAGTCAACAATCTAAAAAGAAAATGGAGGATGAGAAAGCAGAAAGTATTCTAGAAGTGAAGGAAGATGAAGCCTGTCGTGTTCTAAATGACAGTTGTGTGAAGACAGAAGATGCTGGTGAGTCCAAAGCACATTTTTATATGTGACCGTCTGCTTTGCGTACCCTTTCCGATCAGTTTTCACCAATGCATCCAGACACTAGTGGAAATCAGAAATTCCAGTCCTCAATTCATTTTTTGGCCTAAAATATTTGTCAGTATAATGTTACTTGGGATGCAGAGATTTCCATACACATGACTGGTGCTGTTGTAAACATAACGGTCTTTGAAAATCTTCAATCATAAATATAAGTGGGATTGTAATACAAACAACTTGATAAAATGTTGGAACTCAGAAAAAAATTGAAATCAATAACATCAGGTTTTATACTTTAATCAAAGATGCAGTCTCTGAGGAAAATTATATTTCAAGACTAACATGTTTTCATATAACAGCACTGATTTATAGTCTGATAGTACAGCTCGCACTCAAGGCCTCAAGGTCAATTATGAAGACTGATCTGATCACCTGCTGCTAGCTAGCTACATCTGTATGAGCTGTCTGTCTTGCTCTTCTTTGCTTTTAATTATTGTGCTGGTTTGCTTTCCAATGTATAAATCTTAGCTATATGTGTATTTATATGCACTAGAAGGAGTTTTATATTGCATTTTATAGTTTTGAAGATTCTGATGTTGTAAAAATGTGGTCGTATATATCGGAGTCAATGTGTATCTATAGATATTTCAGACGGGGCTGTCTTTTGTAATTTTATGAAATGATTTGCACTATTTCGCTGCTACATCAAACAAAAACCTTGATTTCAAAAAGATGTTGGAAAATATAGATAAACAACAAACCTGCAATATAGATTGTTTTCTTTTCTTCAGTCTATATATATGCATGTAAACAAACAAATGATTTTCCTCAAGGGGTCTCCCTCAAACCAGCATTGATTGCCTTTGGTTTAAAGTATAGACTGGCTACCAGCCCCCAAGTTTTTATGAAGAATTTCTCGGCTGCATTTAGAACTTAGGGTCTGGTCAAATCTGGAAAAGCACTCCCTGGAATAGTGGTGAGTGCAGAAATGTCAAGACCAAATAGCATGCTGATTTGATTCTGTTATGAAGATATGGCTGGGATGTGACCAGGGGATGTTTTATTACCCTGGGTTCACAGGTGGTTGTTGGAGTGGGGGGACTGGGTAGGAGGGGTTTTCTTAAGCTGTGTTAGTATGGTCTTGGCTAGACATACCAGGGCCTGGTTTTTTATTACGTTGGATATGTCCTGAACATGGATGAAGCTATGGCAAGCTGTTTGGGTTTTCACCCATTTAAGACAGATATCTGCATTCATTGACAGAATACAGATGTACGTAATTGAAATAAAGATATCTTCATTTTAAATAGAGATATCTGTATTTATTTGTAAATGGACACATCTGTATTTAAAAAACAAAACAAATCTATTTGAAATGTAGATATTTGTATTTTAAATTTTAACATTGCAAAATTACACATCTGTAATTAAAATACAGATATCTGTATTGATGTCTTAAATACAGATATCTATAATTATGCAATAAATACAGATATCTGTATTTAAAGGGTAAAAACCCAAATGGTTTGCCATTTGAAGCTAGTACCAAATCATTAAGAAGATTTAATTATTCAGAAACTGACCTAACTAAGAAAGAGTTGCCAAAAATTACTTTGTAGGAAATTAAAGGATGTTTTATCTTGTTCACCAACTGGAAGTTGAAAAAGCTAGAAGTTTGAGATTACTCTCTAGTTTTCATAAACTGTAAACATTGCTCTTTTATGGGGTTTCATCTGTGGTTGTTGTGTCACCATTGATAGCTTTGATGAATTATCAAGCTGAAAGCCTTTCTCAGCAGAATGTAAAAGCTGTGTACTTACAAGAATGCTGAGGATAAATGAAACTCTGATGATAAATGAAACTGCTATGAGTATGATTACCTTTTGGATCAGTTATTATACCCAGTAGTAAGCATGAAAATGTGGTTAAAAATGCAAACATAATAAACATGACATCATTGCATGTATTCTGTTAACATCAACATTATGTCCTAACAAACATGACAAAATAGACCTAAATATATCATATCAATGTCAAGGCCCAATATTTACTAGTTCAACCAGTGTGTCAAGGGAGTGAGAGTAACAACAGATAAGTTGCATGACCAGCCTGTGGTAATCAGGACCATTAATGCTCCTTGAGTGTGGTTTCACAGGCAGCCTAGCTAGCCCTAGACTTTGGCCAGAGTCAAATTACAAACCTTATCCACATTTGAACAGTTTTTAGGGTTAAAGTTGTTTTCTTAATTATTCAATACTCTAGAGGCGGTGGCCAGTCTACTAAAAGTACTACTTAATAGAAATCCAATTTTGGATAACGCTTAGAAAATTACAAAAGTGGGAAATAATGAAATATTTGTACATTTCTGTGCATCAATAGTACTTAACTATCTACAATGACTCTGATGTGGTCACTAGATGATAGTTCCTTTACTCTCTACAGTAACTGATGTGGTCACTAGTTGATAGTTCCTATACTCTCTTCAGTAACTGATGTTGTTGCTAGTTGATAGTTCCTTTGCTCTCTACAGTAACTGATGTGGTCACTAGCTGGTAGTTCCTTTACTCTCTATCGTAACTGATGTGGTCACTAGTTGGTAGTTACTTTACTCTCTACAGTAACTGATGTAGTTACTAGTTGGTAGTTCATTTACTCTCTACAGTAACTGATGTGGTAGCTAGTTGGTAGTTCCTTTACTCTCTCCAGTAACTGATGTGGTCACTAGTTGATAGTTCCTATACTCTCTTCAGTAACTGATGTTGTTGCTAGTTGATAGTTCCCTTACTCTCTACAGTAACTGATGTGGTAGCTAGTTGGTAGTTCCTTTACTCTCTAAATCCAATTTTGGATAACGCTTAGAAAATTACAAAAGTGGGAAATAATGAAATATTTGTACATTTCTGTGCATCAATAGTACTTAACTATCTACAATGACTCTGATGTGGTCACTAGAGGATAGTTCCTTTACTCTCTACAGTAACCGATGGGGTCGCTAGTTGGTAGTTCCTTTACTCTTTACAGTAACGGATGTGGTCACTAGTTGGTAGTTCCTTTTCTCTCTACAGTAACTGATGTGGCCACTAGTTGATAGTTCCTTTACTCTTTACAGTAACTGATGTGGTCGCTAGTTGGTAGTTCCTTTACTCTTTACGGTAACTGATGTGGTCACTAGTTGGTAGTTCCTTTGCTCTCTTCAGTAACTGATGTTGTTGCTAGTTGATAGTTCCTTTACTCTCTACAGTAGCTGATGTGGTAACTAGTTGGTAGTTCCTTTTCTCTTTACAGTAACTTATGTGGTCACTAGCTGGTAGTTCCTTTACTCTTTACAGTAACTGATGTAGTGACGAGTTGGTAGTTCCTTTACTCTCTACCGTAACTGATGTGGTCGCTAGTTGGTAGTTCCTTTACTCTCTTCAGTAACTGATGTTGTTGCTAGTTGATAGTTCCTTTACTCTCTACAGTAACTGATGTGGTCACTAGTTGGTAGTTCCTTTACTCTCTATCGTAACTGATGTGGTCACTAGTTGGTAGTTCCTTTACTCTTTACAGTAACTGATGTGGTCACTAGTTGGTAGTTCATTTACTCTCTACAGTAACTGATGTCGTCACTAGTTGGTAGTTCCTTTACTCTCTTCAGTACCTGATGTAGTTACTAGTTGGTAGTTCATTTACTCTCTACAGTAAATGATGTGGTCACTAGTTGGTAGTTTCTTTACTCTCTTCAGTAACTGATGTTGTTGCTAGTTGATAGCTCCTTTACTCTCTACAGTAACTGATGTGGTCTCTAGTTGGTAGTTCCTTTACTCTCTTCAGTAACAGATGTGGTCACTAGTTGGTAGTTCCTTTACTCTTTACATTAACTGATGTAGTGACTAGTTGGTAGTTCCTATACTCTCTTCAGTAACTGATGTGGTCACTAGTTGGTATTTCATTTACTCTCTACAGTAACTGATGTGGTCACTAGCTGGTAGTTCCTTTACTCTCTATCGTAACTGATGTGGTCACTAGTTGGTAGTTCCTTTACTCTTTACATTAACTGATGTAGTGACTAGTTGGTAGTTCCTTTACTCTCTTCAGTAACAGATGTGGTCACTAGTTGATAGTTCCTTTACTCTCTTCAGTAACTGATGTGATCACTAGTTGATAGTTCCTATACTCTCTTCAGTAACTGATGTGGTCACTAGTTGGTAGTTCCTTTACTCTCTACTGTAACTGATGTAGTGACTAGTTGGTAGTTCCTTTACTCTCTTCAGTAACTGATGTGGTCACTAGTTGATAGTTCCTATACTCTCTTCAGTAACTGATGTGGTCACTAGTTGGTAATTCCTTTACTCTCTACTGTAACTGATGTGGTCACTAGTTGGTAGTTCCTTTACTCTCTACTGTAACTGATGTTGTCACTAGTTGGTAGTTCCTTTACTCTCTTCAGTAACTGATGTGGTCACTAGTTGGTAGTTCCTTTACTCTCTACAGTAACTGATGTGGTAACTAGTTGATAGTTCCTTTACTCTCTTCAGTAACTGATGTGGCCACTAGTTGGTAGTTCCTTTACTCTCTACAGTAACTGATGTGGTCACTAGTTGCTAGTTCCTTTACTCTCTACAGTAACTGATGTGGGCACTAGTTGGTAGTTCCTTTACTCTCTACAGTAACTGATGTGGTCACTAGTTGACAGTTCCTTTACTCTCTACAGTAACTGATGTGGCCACTAGTTGCTAGTTCCTTTACTCTCTACAGTAACTGATGTGGCCACTAGTTGGTAGTTCCTTTATTCTCTACAGTAACTGATGTGGCCCCTAGTTGGTAGTTCCTTTACTTTTTACAGTAACTGATGTGGTCCCTAGTTGACAGTTCCTTTACTCTTTACAGTAACTGATGTAGTGGCTAGTTGGTAGTTCCTTTACTTTTTACAGTAACTGATGTGGTCCCTAGTTGACAGTTCCTTTACTCACTACAGTAACTGATGTGGCCCCTAGTTGGTAGTTCCTTTATTCTCTACAGTAACTGATGTTGCCACTAGTTGCTAGTTCCTTTACTCTCTACAATGTAGTGACTAGTTGGTAGTTCCTTTTCTCTCTACAGTAACTGATGTGGTCACTAGTTGGTGGTCCCTTTACTCTCTTCAGTAACTGATGTGGTCACTAGTTGGTAGTTCCTTTACTCTCTACAGTAACTGATGTAGTTACTAGTTGATAGTTCCTTTACTCTTTACAGTAACTGATGTAGTGACTAGTTGGTAGTTCCTTTACTCTCTATCGTAACTGATGTAGTCACTAGTTGGTAGTTCCTTTTCTCTCTACAGTAACTGATGTAGTCACTAGTTGATAGTTCCTTTGCTCTTTACAGTAACTGATGTAGTGACTAGTTGGTAGTTCCTTTACTCTTTACAGTAACTGATGTAGTGACTAGTTTGTAGTTCCTTTACTCTTTACAGTAACTGATGTGGTAGTTCCTTTACTCTCTTCAGTAACTGATGTGGTCACTAGTTGGTAGTTCCTTTTCTCTCTACAGTAACTGATGTGGCCACTAGTTGATAGTTCCTTTACTCTCTACAGTAACTGATGTAGTTACTAGTTGATAGTTCCTTTACTCTTTACAGTACCTGATGTAGTGACTAGTTGGTAGTTCCTTTACTCTCTATCGTAACTGATGTAGTCACTAGTTGGTAGTTCCTTTTCTCTCTACAGTAACTGATGTGGCCGCTAGTTGATAGTTCCTTTACTCTTTACAGTAACTGATGTGGTCACTAGTTCGTAGTTCCTTTACTCTTTACAGTAACTGATGTAGTGACTAGTTGGTAGTTCCTTTACCCTCTATCGTAACTGATGTAGTCACTAGTTGGTAGTTCCTTTTCTCTCTACAGTAACTGATGTGGCCGCTAGTTGATAGTTCCTTTACTCTTTACAGTAACTGATGTGGTCGCTAGTTGGTAGTTCCTTTACTCTCTTCAGTAACTGATGTGGTTGCTAGTTGATAGTTCCTTTACTCTCTACAGTAACTGATGTAGTTACTAGTTGGTAGTTCCTTTACTCTTTACAGTAACTGATGTAGTCACTAGTTGATAGTTCCTTTACTCTCTACAGTAACTGATGTGGTCACTAGTTGGTAGTTCCTTTACTCTCTTCAGTAACTGATGTGGTTGCTAGTTGATAGTTCCTTTACTCTCTACAGTAACTGATGTAGTTACTAGTTGATAGTTCCTTTACTCTTTACAGTAACTGATGTGGTCGCTAGTTGACAGTTCCTTTACTCTCTATAGTAGCCCCAACACAGTCATTAGTTGGACTAAAGTACTAGAGCTTGCTCTTTCATTGCTTTAAAGATTAGAATATTCTCAATACCTCTACATGTTTATAATTGACTGACCTCTGTCAAGGTCATTAACGTTACATGCTGTCGGTTGTCTAATATTTTCTTCTCATTCCGGTACTGGACATTCAAATACTGCTTAACTTAGTCATTATTATTTTTTAGTGTGTTATAAAGTATGTTTATATAATGCAGACATTCTGCTTGATCTTGCCTTGTTAACGTCATGGTAACTGGTGTGTTTTTGATTTACTTAACTAGTGGCTATTATCCTGTTTAATCGATATTTCTACTGTTTAGGATATATTTGTAGACTTGTATGCTAATAAATATACAATTGATGTTGTTTCTAATGGAGGCATATTGTTTGTGTTTGCACAAATGCACAGGTCCTTTTACACCGCAATGGTTTTGTTTTCAGCAAGCTAGTACATAGGTTTTTGTTTGTGAGGATATGAAACCCCTGTGTGACATTGATACAGTCTTCCCCATGTTGACTTCAAAGAAAACATTACATTCTGTAGACATAATGCAATACAACTAAAAACCAGATAATTTGTCTTGATACTTGAATAAGTCAGCAAGGAGATGATACCCCAGGTGTTGTAGCAGACTTTAACTTACCTGTCCTGTGTAGAAACGTGACTTAACTGATACAGAGCGACCCTCAACATTGTGTAAGGTCAACACTGACTAGTGGAATGTAGACAGGCCTTCAGCATTGTGACAGCCACCCTGTTGGAGGAACTGTTGCTATGGCAAAGAATTACTGTGTAGTACAAGGGTGCCGGAATTCCTCCGGACTTTTGAGGAAGAAGCTTGAAGGATTTTGTGATATCCACAAAGGTCAGCCACGTGAGAGTTGTCCATGCCCTGCCCCTCAAGAGTTCTTCTCCTTTCCCCAAGATGAAAGCCATCGTAAAGAATGGATGCTGAAAGTACACCTACAGGACGACTTATTTGACACAAGGCTTCGGGTAAGTGACAAAAAATTGGAATAAAACAGGACTGTTATCAAAGTGTAAACAAATACACATATAATTTTTAGGAAAATATGTTATTTGTTTTGTCATTAATGAAAATATAAATCCGAACGTTTCTTTAAAAAAAAAATACCAATACAGTTTTTATAAGTGTACTCGACTATATATGGTCAGTACATTAAAAAAGGCTTTGATGAATCAGTTCTAGGACTGTGAATTCTGTCGGGTTGGGTCGTTGCCATTTTTTACCATTAACCCATTCACCCCGTGAAATTTCATGATGAACTATTCCAACCTTTGAATCGGAAGAGTTCAAATGTGTCTTCAGGGGTGAGTGAGTTAAAACATGTGTACATGAAAGAACATCATATATGGTTGGATCTCTAAATGATTTTCACAAATCAACTTCTAACTAAGATGGACTGTCTTCGTATCTTTCTTTTTTTGTTTGGTTGAGCACAACATCATTGATGACATGTCCAACATTCATTCTCATCTATCAAAATGATTTCCATTAATGCTTTAATTAGAGTTTTCAAAATAATCTTTTTCAATGTCCTCCTTCTGTTAACAATTTGTACTCAAATTTTTACCTATGGTATGGACAGGTGTGCTCAGTACATTTTCGGGATGGAAAGCCGACAGAAGACAGCCCATACCCAGAGCTAAACCTTGATTTCAATGTAAATTCACATTCTGATCTCCTGGCAAGGGGTAAGCATTTAGACTATTGTCTCACATAATTAATACATGGATTCATTGTGTTGACATTGTTTACAAGTCTTTAGCAGAACAATGCAGGGTTGGAAGGTTTTATAATGTATTAGGGTCATAGGTCATACCACTGTTAAAATTAAACATGTCACTGGGATGATATATGATATATAAATAATTTGTTGCAAGTTGTTCACAGCTTCACATTATCTTTAACCAGTCAACTCAAATTTTCAATGTTCATAAGAGTCGGGCATTTGTTAACATTTGTTTCAACGGTAACTGACATAATTTGTTTCTATAAACGATAGCACACCTTGCTTCATTTACCGATATCACTGCCTTTGTGACATACTGTACTTTTCTCATTCAAGGTTTGGACTACAATAAACACCACCAGAAGAATCTACAGCTGTTCTGTCGACTCTGTGGAGATAATGAATGTGTGGTTACTAAAGCTTGCAAAGTACATCCAAAGCATAGATTTGAAAAGGACATATTTTCGTCCATGGCTATTGACGTGAACCAGGATTCCTGTACCGTCCATCCCCGAAATATTTGTTATGTCTGTCGCGCAAAATTGAGTGCCTGGAAGTCAGCCATGCAAAAAGGCAGACCTATAGATTTACAGATAAAACCAGCCAAATTTGTGCCCCATGATGAGCCAAGTAAATGCCTGGTCTGCTTGAACCAGTCACTCAGAAATTACAGACCTCCACAGATGTCTTCCAATGCTGATTCAAGCAACTTGGGTTTAGGTAGGAACAGCGTTCAGAGTTACTCCCCTTTTGTCAGCAGAGTTATTGGCCTTTGTTGCTATGGTCGTCCTATCACTCAGACATAGTAACAATAAACTCTGGACTCGGGATTGCCTTTGACATTTTTTCAAAGCTGCTAGATTGTGCATTTCTCAACAGACACTACAAACATCTGCCTCAATCTCAATGCTTCGGTCACACAATCCTGTTAAATGATAGTCACGCCCTCCAAGTAATATCTGTCAACATATTTTTATATAAACAATACATTCCAAGGTATACACAGGAATTTACCCTTTAACGAGAAATTAACTTCAAAGGGTGCCAATCAAGTACACATAATTTTGTTCTTTCATACAGCGACATGTAAAGTCAAGTAGTTTTGTTATAATAGCCATCATATCTTCCAGATAATCAACACAACTTGTACCATATCCTCAAAATTAGTGAAAGGTTTTGTTTGATGTTGAAGATGTTAATTTCATGTTGCCATCTTTTTGAAGCATGTTACATGTTTACTGTATCAAGGATGTTTTTTTGACATGAGCATGCTTTTCTATCTGTTGTGTGTAGAGGATGCCTCCCATTCCGTTTCTTTATTTATTTGCTTGTCACTAACCTTACTTCACTAGCTATATATTTACCACTATATCAGATATTAGTGTAACCTAACTAAAATATTAATTGCAGATGATAAGAAGGATGGAGTAGCAACATCTAGATTCTGTAGTTTATCTGTGGTTTACATGTTTCAGCTGGCTAAGTCAGTCGGCACCAGAACAATGGTATACAATTTTTGAGGGCTAAGGTAAAAATTATGGCTCGGTCGTTATGTCATTATAATTATATACCTCACATGATAACAATAATACAGATACTTATAGTCACGTGATATATCGGTTCAATTGACAAATATTACCATCCATAAATATTAAACTGTATAATGTGAAAGCATTAAAATGTTTGGTTCTTTCATTCTCCGTTTGGGGACCCGATTTTTTAGGTATTGATTGATTTCATCTCTTTTAAAATATGATAACCAAAAACCAAAACAACTGACATGTACTTTAAGAAGTTGAAGTAGCCAGATTTACTATGTGGTAATTCTTTTCAGCATAGTACTGTGACATTGGTTTGAGAGTTATATAACAGTGTGTCATATTCTGAACGGACATCTGTTTCTGTTTGCTGCAGACAAACCATTGGCAGCCATGGAAGGTGGGAAGAACAAAGACGAGGAGGACAAATTATATGTGTTTGACTTCAAGATAGACATGGATGACCTCATCTCCTCCACCTTAAAGGACCTCGAGGATCACGAGGACGCTTCGTCCTATCAGTCGGATTTCACCAAGTTTTCACAGCAGCTGCGATCTATTGAACGTATGTTTGAACTGAACACGTACTGCATGGCATCATCTTCAAAAAGATTTAAAAGATTTTGAACTGAGGGGTTAATCAAAGTAAACAAAAATAGTTGTCAGTATATATGTTTGGGAAATGACAAAGTCATGAAGCATTGAACTTTCCTATTTAAGATTGCATACTTGCCAATTCTCCCTATTTAGGAGGGAGACTTCCATTTTTGGACCCTTAAATTATACTATCTACTAATTATTTAATCTGAAAGAACAATTTTTTTTTATTTAAAGGCAAATATTGTCTCCACCGGGTATATATATATATATATATATACACACATATTAATTAGGTATTCATTTTGAGCATGCGGAATCTCCCTCTTTGTAATTTCAAAAAGTTGGCATATATTAGATTGTTGGGAGTGTCATGTTTCTTAACTTAAGTTATTGATTATGTAAAATTTCTTGACCATACATATTTTGAATTTGTTGAATTTGCATATTCATTGTAATGGAAAAACTGGAAATATAAGACTGTTGCGATCATGCCTAGTTGGAGAAGTGAGTGATCTGTGCTGTAATAAGTTTGCTGGATTTATCTCCCCTAGGTAAGACCAAGGAGGTACGCAAGATCTACACGGAGTGTTCCGAGAAGCTGCGTATCTACAGGGAGGAACTAGAGGAGGCTGATCGTGAGGAAGAGTGAGTACATCCAATACACATTCTTAGACCTGGGCCAGTATTCTTGCAAACTGTTCTCGTGCTCAAACTCAAGCCCGAATTTTTGTTCCGTTGATAAATAAATAAGGGTTCACATTTTCATCAATGATGTAGAGTGATTTTGAAGAGAATTTAAGCTTTTACACCTGATATTTTGATCCTGCCACAAAATTCAAGTGTGCTTCAGGAAAGTAATAGGTTGAGCACAGAATTGTGCTTGAGAATAAGAATGGTTGCATGAATACTGGCACTGGCCTCTGCTTGGCTGAGACAATAGTTTTGGGAATGGTCATTCAGTACTAAACAAGTCGTTCACATTTTTTTTTATATCCACGCATATGATTTGGCTTGACACATAAAACGTTTTATTCATGTTTTAAAACCTTTTCTGTTTAAATGATATATACACTAGGTAAAAGCTTTAAACTAAATTGGTCTCTCTAATGTTAGATGACTAACCATATCTTAAAAACAACTGAAATATGATAAAACATACTATACACAATTCTAAATCATCAGACCTCTTAAAAAGAGACAATTTTGAGAAATATTGAAAAATCAATCAGTGTGAGAGAAAAAAGTCCCCCATTTCTCCGGTGTTCTAAATTTCATTCTGTAAATTCCCCTCTTTTTGTTTACCGTAAAATCTCCTGTAATTTTGTACTTTTTCTTGAGAAATAAAATGCCCAAATTGGGGGGTGCGCTAACACTGGTGTAAACAAGTTTTTTTTCCAGGGATAGATCGATGATTCTGGCAGACCACCATCTTGGTAGTTAGTAAGGAAGAATTTCATTTTGTTAACAGACTAAAAGAGGCAGCAGCTGAGATTGATGCGAAGGAGGCTGCCGAGGCCAATGCCAAGGTTGATGAAGAGAGCGATGAGGATGATGTACAGTTTGTGGCCACGAGCTATGACCCCTCCGTAATGGAGAAGAGACAAGTGATAGCTACCCAGAACAAAAACCTTGTATCGGCTTTATCATCGTCGCCCAAAATGGAACCCCTGACTATTCCACCGGGGTAAGTAAACTTGAAATACATCGGGATAAAGAAACATAATGTTTCCATTGTGTTAAGTAAACACTATATTATTAGGGTGGTATGTCATTATGTAAGTAAATATGACATCACTACAGGTGTATTTAAACGTAAGTAAATATGACATCACTACAGGTGTATTTAAACATAAGTAAATATGACATCACTACAGGTGTATTTAAATGTAAGTAAATATGACATCACTACAGGTGTATTTAAACATTAGTAAATATGACATCACTACAGGTGTATTTAAACATAAGTAAATATGACATCACTACAGGTGTATGTGAATACCCACCTGGGTATGTAACTATTGGGATACCTCTGGTGTATGTTAATGATTAAGTAAACATGATGTCACTAGGTGGGTATGTAAATATGTAAGTAAATAGTGGGTTACCACTGACTGGTGTAAGTAAACATAGCCATACCATTCAGGTATGTTAATGTTTAAGTAAAGATTATGTTACCCCAGTTTCTTAAAATGTGATTTTTACCCAGAAGTTATGCTTCACATAACATCCCAAGGATAGAAAACCTGTGATTTTTACCCTGAAGTAATGCTTCACATAACATCCCAAGGATAGAAAACCTGTGATTTTTTACCCAGAAGTAATGCTTCACATAACATCCCAAGGATAGAAAACCTGTGATTTTTTACCCAGAAGTAATGCTTCACATAACGTCCCAGGGGTAGGAAACCTGTATGTCAGTTTTTGTATTTGTGTTGTAGGGCAGTGTTGGTGAAGTTGCCTCCCATCAGTCAGTCCCAGTCGGGCACCACCCCCTCTCTACAATCACTGAGGAACGCGCTAGCAGGAGCAATCAACAAGCAAATCCCTTCTGTTTCTCAGTCTACAACCACTGTAATAAATGTCAGTTTAATATCATCATAACATTAAAATCAGATCCTATATTTGAGTCAAAAAATAATTTACACCCAGTTTATACAGAGTATTAAGGCTTGCAATATACATGATGGAAGTTTGTTATCTCCTTCATAACATCTTTTATTTTGCAAAATGTTTATGACCGATCCATGCGTAAAAAGATGTGGAAAATGACATTTTCTAACATGCATTTAAGGCTAATTTGAAATTTGGAAAAGTGTAAACTTCAAAGATATTTATAACTACACAACGCCCCATAGATAATGATAACTAATATCATTTACATTGTTCCCAGACTGCTCCAGCTGGTTCCCGGTTTGTACAGTCTAATAGTCTACAGAACCAGCAACGTATGGAGACCATGTACAGAGCAGATGTGGAGTAAGTGTGAACGACCAATTTTTATTGTGTGCTGACATTAGTTTTATTCAATTAGCAAGCATACTTCAAATCCATTGATATTAATTGGTTGTCAGTAGTCTTAACTTAATTATATACATATGTATGAATTGTTTGTCAGTGGTCTGTTCCGGCTGACATGGTAAATCTATGTCTAAGTGACAATTATTATTTCCTTCGATTACAGGACCATAGAAATAGGTGGTAAAATACTCGGCAAGAAATTTAATGACATTTGGTACAAAGGAACTGTGTCGGACATTCAGAGCAAAGATAAAGCCATAGAGGAGGTATGTAACTAAAACATTACAATCCTGACGCTAATGACTCAATGATTTAACCAGCTAACCAGCTCTCCTCCAGGTGGGATCTTGTCACAAAGAGACCTCACGGTGGAGATTAATAGAATCTTCCCCTACCTTGAGGGTGTGACAGAGAAATCTCCAACCCAAGGAGTGATGTATTTCAGTTGTCTAACTTGAGGCTCTGCCGACATTTAGATAACCAAAATAATCACCCAGAGGGTTGGAGATTTCTCTGTTACACCCTTAAGGTAGGGGATGATTATTTTTCTCCCATCATTTTTTGCTCACCTGGCACAAAGTGCCAAGTGAGCTTATGCCGTGGCGCGGCGTCCGGCGTCAATATTTTACTTTAATCGACTTCTTCTTAATAACCGAAAGGCCTAGGGTGTCGATATTTGGCATGCTAGATAGTAGCATGCTGAGATAAAGGGCTACAAAGTTTGTTCAAATGAATGACCTTCACCCATATTCAAGGTCACAGGGGTCAAATCTGTTTAAAACTTTAAACAGCTTCTTCTGAATAACCAAAATGCCCAGGGTAATGATATTTGGCCAGTAGCATGCTGAGATGAAGGGCTACAATGTTTGTTCAAATGCATGACCTTCACCCATATTCAAGGTCACAAGGGTCAAATATGTTAAAAACTTTAAACAGCTTCTTCTGAATAACCAAAATGCCCAGGGTGATGATATTTAGTCAGTAGCATACTAGGATCAAGGGCTACCAAATTTGTATAAATGTATGACCTTGAATCATATTCAAGGTCACAAGGAGCAAATATGTTCAAAATATTTCAACAACTTGTTCTGAATAACCAAAAGGCTCAGGATGTTGATATTTAGTCAGTAGCATATGCTGGGATCAAGGACTACTTTGTTTGTTAAAGTGAATGACTTTGACTTATATTCAAGGTCACAGGGGTCAAATTTGTTTAAAATCTTTAAACAACCTCTTCTGAATAACCATGGGTCCCGGGATGTTTATAATTTGCAAGTTGCATCCTGTGATGAAAGGCTATACAATGTGTTCAATAGAATGACTTTGTTCGACTTTCAATCACAGGGGTGAAATGTTCCAAAAATAAATAACAGGGTCTTTTGAATGAATTTTAATCATAAATACTGATATTTTGCCTGAAGCTTTATTTTAGATCAATTTTAAGGTTACAAGGGGGAGTTTTATACTAGGTGAGCGATGCAGGCCCATTGGGCCTCGTGTATTTCAGTCACATAGTGTAAACAAAACACATGTGGGGTATGAATATCGTCATTCACTTTTGATGACGTCACAATTACCTGTGACCCATTTCAATGACGTCACAATTGAATACGTGCTAGTTGGCACGGGGCTATCTCCCCCTAGAGGGTGACAAGCTCATCTTTCCCGGCTAAAACAGGAGACACATGTGAAGGGTGGGAGAAAAACAGTACAAAGGAAGGTTATCTAGTTGACTAGCTAGGTCTGTTGTTAATAATGACCATGTAAAGACCAATGTAAGTCTGACTATCAATATTTTGAGCCATGTACAGACCAGTGTATATGTCTTGCTGTCTGTGAATCTATGTCATGCCTTTGACCTCTCAAGATGACTAGGAATGCAGGAAAAAGTTAAGCTCATAAGATTGTTTTTTTGCGACATCAACAGCAAAACCTAAATTTATCACATTGTGTTGTTGTCGCTTATTGTCTTGCATTTCTTAAATTTAAAAGAATAATGTTTTTTTATTTTTCAGAGGAGATACAGCATTAAGTTTGATGGAAAAGGGAAGAAGGTTCTGAGCCCCAAACATGTTGCTTTCAAAGACCCAATAGTCCGACAGATTTATGTGGGCACCCGAGTCATAGGTCAGTAGTCAGTAATGTATTCCAACAGACCAAGGTTACAGGTCAAGTGTATTACATTCTAGTTGTTCAGGGTCATAGGTCAACCATGGATTTAACAAGACCAAAAGAAATGGGTCTAAAGATTGCTGCAAATATGTCGAGATCAGAATATTTTAAGGTAAACAATATGGTAACATCCTGAATTTATCATTATTAATCTGTAGTAAAACTTTAGAAAACTGTCACCTTAAGGTTATTCTGCCAATCAGTGAAAGATGATAATAATAATAATGATAAACTTTATTTAACGAGGATGTCATGTTTAGCCAAAGGCTAATCTACCACATGTTTAGCCAAAGGCTAATCTACCACATGTTTAGCGAAAGGCTAAATGATGTACAGGATGTACTGATGAAAAGGGTTTTTATGCCATTAATATCCAGAATTTTGTTGTTCCTATATGTGTTTTGATATTTTCCCACTTTGACCTGGAAAGAAGGAGATTGATTTCATAGCCAAAGCCTGACTGAACAGTATTTTTTTCCTTCACTAGAAAATTTGTGAATTGTCTGGAATTTCCCTTTTAAGCATTGTATCGAGATGAAGACTCCACATCATCCTACTACGCGGGTATAGTAGCGGAGACTCCCAATGGCCGGAATCAGCAGAGGTTTGTCTCACTACATTATAAATAAACCAGAATTTACTTGTTCCAGTTTCACAATAGTTCCAATATTAGATTCCAGTATCTTTGATAAAATGTTTCAAAATTACTGTATAGGACATTTTGGTGCCAAAATAAAATTTGATTTTTATTTCATATACAGATGAATATACTTCAGTATTCTGACTTCCCTTCCAGGTATCTGATCTTCTTTGACGATGGCTATGCACAGTATTCCTTGGCAGCGGATATCAACAAAGTTCTCTGGCAGAGTAAGTTATCATACCACACTCTTGGACAGTGGTCATGAAATAGTCTTGAAAAGTCTTGAAAGTCTGTATTTACAATATATATATATACACACATGTAAAATAACATCTTGAAATTTCATCAACTCTTATAATGTTTTCCTATGGAAAACCTAAGGAATGTTCATGAAACTGGTCCAGACTCCAGTATAAGTTCATTGTACATAACGTTAATAAAACAAGGTTATGAAACAAGTCATTGGCAAATGTATCACATACAATAACACGGTGAGTCAAGACAATTTTATAACTAAAAAAAACCATGGAATATCAAAGCATTGAGGGATCTGTTCAGAAGTAAGAAAATTGATGTGTTATACTATAAAATCATAAATTTTCGTGGGACATTAAATTTTTTTTTTTTTTTTTTTTTTTTTTTTTTTTTTTTTTTTTTTTTTTTTTT